CGCAGCCCGTGACCGACGAGCTACGTCCGCGCAAAGAAAGGTTGTTTCACAGAAAGAGAAATTGCTCCAGTTTACAGGAAGTACTGTCCACCTCTGTTAATAGATAGAGAAATAGCCGATGGTGTGGTGTTGGGAGGGGCTTGGCGAGAACATGGACAACAGGGTGATCTGGTAGAAACTATTGGACGACTGTCTAGCGATAATTCAGATGTTGCTGCACCTGCCCAACGTGATGTGCTACGAGAATATTTTGTAACGGAAGCAGGGGAAGCCCAAGTCCCATGGCAATACCAACAAATATTCAGACATTGCCATATTAATCATCCTGATTAATCTTTCTGATTTTCTTTAATTACTGTGATTTTCTTTAATTACAAGCGATATTGCAAGCTGAATAAGATATCAATTCTTTTGTGTAGAAAACGCGATAATCTAAATAAAGAAGTTTAATTTACTTATCTTTTATAGTTATTTATTCAATTACTATATGCATCCAACATATATGTAAGTTCGTAATAAACGATTAATAAAACATTGATTGATATCTTTGATCTAATATTAATTGATTAATATAATATAACACATACTAACTTTGTTAACATATATTTTATTAATTATAAATGAAATAAACATGAATACTGTTTTTATTTATACAAACTACAAAGACAGAAAAAGTGATATATTATAAAAATATATGATAAATATATGATACAATATAAAAACTAATAATCGATAATCAGTATGTAATAATCAATCATACTTCTATAGCGTAGAAGAGTAAAATTTATAATATTAATAATATATTACTTTAACTATATTTCCTTATCTGTCAATGGCTTCGACAATAGGGAACCAATCTGCGAAAACGCTTTACTAATAGTATCTTTGTTTTTTTTATCAATTTTTATACGTTTTTCCCACAATAAAGGATTTGAACGGACAAAGGCTATTATCTTCCTATCAATGACATATTCCTCAAATTCTGTTCCTCATTTTTAAGAAAATCACTATTCGATACGATAAATTCTACCGCCAAACTTGTGCTGTGATTATTGCCTGAACTCATGCGACATGCCTGTCGCAGTCGCAAAAAGTTGAAGTTGGCTCAACTCCGTACGACAAGAGCTCTTGCGACACGACAATCATGCGACTATACGAGACACTTCTGCGACATTTCATACGACATGCGACACAGCTTGTGCGACTATTGTAGACGAGGCTTTAGACTTTAAGTACTTGCGCTTTTACGGAAATATTTT